ATTTTTCTATTTAACACTTTCAAATAAAAGTTCAATTATTTATATTTTAAAAATTAACAATCGCTAAAAGTTTTTTTATTAACAATATAACAACACGTTTATTAAAACAATTTGAATATTAATTTAATTGGATTTATTTTTCAATAACAATTTAATAAATAGTTTATAATATAGGATAATAAGTAACTTTAATAAATAACTTGAGTTGAGTAGTTATGATTTTTTATAAAAAAAACTAAGAACAGGCAAGTACTAACGATTCCTATTTTAATAGTTCTTTTTTACTAATCTAGTACTAAAAGTTTCTTAAAGGTTTCTTAAGAAATTCTTTAGAGTTATAAATATAGCTTCTAGCACCAGTTTCTTATTTACATTGACTTAAAAATAAATGCATAGTCACAATTTACTGAATATCCTTACTCTTTATTCATATTATTAGCAATGTCAGTCTGGATATACGCAACAAAAAGGAAAAATCCAATAGCAAAAGAGTTGGAAGGACAGTGTCAGCGTTGTAACAAAATAATAAAATGCTCAGGAAATTCTACAACTACTTTTAAAAATCACTTAAAAAGTCATGGACTTTGTTTAGATAAGGCAACAAAATTAATCATACTAACAGATTAGAGAGCAAGCGAGAAGAGTCAAAAATCTGTTGGCAACTTCATCGCGCAAAAGAAGCTTTAAAATATTTGGCTACAGATGGCTACAAATCGGAAAATTTCAGTTAGAGCTATAACCAGAAATAAATACATTTGCCAGTCAATAGCTCGAGATAGATTTAAACTCCCCGCTAATGAAAGTGATGTAATGAAACTTTTGCACAAAGATTTTGATAAAAAGCAAAAAAAAAGATTGACACCATAAAATTAAAAGAAGCCAATAAAGTGAAGTTTAGCATGATTGTTGATGAGGTTACTTCTTTAAGAGGACAAAGATATTTTGGAGTTAATATTCCTGATAAAACTTACAATACCATGTAACAAACAGGATTAATTCGAATTTTGGGTTCATGCAGTGCACTTGATATGGTTGAAATAATGAAATAAACATCTAAATGTGTTTGGAATATTGATGGAAAAAGATTTGGTTCCATCTACTCAGGATAAAGCATCTGTGTTATTGGTCAATTTTGTCTTAATCATGGTATACATCTTGAAGTATGTGACACTTAATACGAAAAAACATAATATTGAAGATTTAAGCAACCCCTGTGATGACGATAACAATGAAAATAATTCCTTTGACAAAGGTATAATTTTAAATTTGTAAATGATGATTGTGAAGATTATATTTACTTCAATAATTTACTTAAGAACTCACGCAAACTGATAAAATACATCAAACTGTCAAGTGTTCGAATCAATGTTTTTCAATCAAAAGTCAAGGCTCTACTTGGAAAAGAAATTGAACTTCATCTTGATGTAAAAACTCATTGGAACACAATACCAATAATGCTTGAGCCATTGATAAAGACAGAGACAGCAATTCGAGAAACTTTATTAGAATTTAAGCAAGATATAAGTTACCAATAAGGTAGACTCAATGCCTTGAAAGGTTTACTAGATGAAACCCAATAAACTTGCTATTGAAAATCTTAATAGAGAAGATACAACTGTTGAGCGCTGACACGATTTTAGAATTTATTTTTTAAAAACATTCTTTAGTTAATAGTGAATTAGCAAAAAATTGATGAATAATTTGAGAATTAGAGTCAATGAACGCCTGAATACAGATGTCATTAATTTATTACGCTGTCAAAAAAACTCTACAATAACCCCATCTAGAGATACGATAACTTTTGCAGAAATGTTGATATCTCAACTTTTTAATGTTCATGAATTTAATATCATTGAAACAACTTCCAGTAATCCATCAGATAAAATTTTAACTCTACAAGAGAAACTGAATGTGTTGCAGAAGAAAAATGAATCACCAATAGTTCCTTCTGGGCAGGACAATTTCAGGTGGTTGAAAGAATAATTTTTAAGAATACAGGCCAGCATACAGAAAACTTATAAAAGCTTTATGATGCATTATTAACAATTAAGCCCACATCTACGGATGTTGAAAAAGTATTCTCCGTGTGTGCCAACTTTTGTTCAAAAATAAGATCACGACTTTCAGATAAGTCATTATCATTATCAGCTCTTGTATTTTTGTAATACTATTATAAAATGTAAAGTTTATGTTAGGATATATATTATTAGAAAATATTTTACTCTTGCCTGCTTAATACAAGGAGGGTGGGTGGAAATAATAAAGGAAGAGGGGGGTGAACTTCAAATACAGTAAAACAGCTGTTAACTGCTGTTTTTGAAAATTACAAAACAGTAAAATAACTGTTTTTTAAAAACCCCTGTTTTTCAGAAACTCTAGTTGGCATTGCCGAATGCTGACCCTAATTCTAAGGGGTGTAGTGTGAGCCTAATGCTCAAAGCTTCATTGGGTGATCATTGCTTCCTAAAATGGTATGTACACCAACATTTTAGTTGTAATAGAGGAAAATAAATTTTTATTAAGGAAGTCAAAAAAAAAATATCAGGCAATCTAACTAGAGCTGACAAGGTGGTATTTGATGTTTTTTGAAGAAGTTTGAAGTTTCTGTATTAAGGAGTTGAAAATTTATTATTCAGATTAATTGATGCCGAGCTGATAACAATTTATTCTTATTATTGTTGCCAATAAGCCCCAAACCTGACAACAATAGTTGAGATGAGACTGAAAAATTGCAAAATACAGATTTTAAGAGTAGTTTTATATACATAATGGCGAATTATTGAAAGCATACCATTAGCTCGATTAAATTTTTTATGGAGTGCATCTATATGAAAATTCCATGAGAGGTTTGAATCTATAAAAATACCAAGATATTTAACAACGTGTGTTGGATATAAATGTTTATTAATAATTTTAATTATAATTTATGATTGTTGTATAAAAGTTTTTTGCTTGGAGATGAAAAAATATTAGTTCAGTTTTTTCCAAGTTCAGAGAAATTAAGTTTGCATTTAGCCAATAAACTAACCTTTTAGATCTAAGTTTATATTCTTACACAAGGAATAATGAGACTTATTAATATGCAAGATATTAGTATTTTTATAATTAGTTTTATTTTTATAATTAGTTTTATTTTTATAGCAAAATGTTTAATTTTACAACTATTTAAAATTATAAAAACAAAAATATATTTTATTTTCAAGGTATTTGTTGTTTAAAATCAAGAAATATTTTTACTCTTATTTTATAATAAGAAGAAAAAAGAAGTCATTGCATTTTCTAAAATTTCGAAAAACTAATACTTGTTAAAAAATTTTGTAAAACAAGGAGACTTATTATTATGCAAAATACTAGTATCATCAGGAAACAAATAGACTGATGAGAAGTGGACAGAGATATTTAGATAAATATAAAGCAAAAACAATAAAGGGCCAAAAACAGAACCCTGAGGAACACCATAAACTATGCGTTTGTTATTTCATTTGTAACCATTAACTTTTTACCCTTGTTATAGTTAAAGATTCTCCAGAAGTCACAAGAGCCTTATTTTTGAGATGAAATAGGAGATTTTGTGACCTAAAAATAGCAGGCTTTGGTATTAGACAAAACCTTTTTACAATGGTTTCTAGCAATAGTAAACAGACACCTATTTTCTGAAGAATTAATTTGCTGATAGATATATAAGTAATGGTTATGAGGCTTGACTTGGAATCGCCAAGAGGAAATAAAAGATTTTATGCCAACCTAAATCCAAGGAGTTATGTAAGAAGCACATTTATCAGCAGGAAGGAAAACATTTCTACCCAAGGGCCATCACAAAGAAAATCAAGGGACGAATCCCAGTCAGCTTTAAGATAATTGTGATAGATAAGATGATACAGGGATTCAGATGATGAAAAAGAATGAGACAATAGTTTTAGAGAGATCAAACTGTGATCAGAAGCACTTAAGAGTAAATGTGGAGAAACTGAGCACTGACTATGATCAGAAACAAGACAAAAGTCGAGCAGAGAAAAAAAATGATTTGGATTGTTTGGAAAGTGAGTTAAAAAAATCACCATTTGTGTTAGAGATTGAATAAGGTAAAAGTAGTAGGCCTTAATGCCTGCAGAGTCACTGACACTAAAGCCAAGTCATTCAGTGTGATGAGCATTAAAGTCACCAACAACAACAATATTTGAAAAAGAAGATAACCATCAAAACTAAGATCATGTTAGAAAAGTGACTTGTCTAACATCCAGGTTACCCTGGATGTTTGACTGTTACCTTTATTGTTCAGAGTGAGCCAATCATTAAACAAAGGTAGTTAGGGCATCCATTAAACATAGGTAGTAGTATTTTGTTAGGGCAGCTGTGTATAAAAAGTTAACTTTTGGCTAAATTACAGTTTTAATAAGTTGAAATTCTTTGAAAGATGTTGTGTGAATGTTTTAGAGTACAATTGATTATTCTTATTTTATTTTTGAAAGCTATTTTCAAAAAATCAATAAACAATTTATCATCATCCCAAAATAAAAATTTTTATGCATGATGAGAACGAAATAAAGCATAGTAAACAGATTTAAAGCTTTTTTTTAATACAAAATTTCTAACTTTAAATAAAATAGCAAAATTTAATTTAATTTACCTGAGATATCACTATAGCTGAGATATTACTATAGCAGTCAGCCTAGATTAAAATTTCAGAGTTTTTAAAGACAATAGTTATCAAAATTTTTTATTAATTTGCTTAAAATAAATAAGAGTTGTCATCTGCAAAGTATTTAACACCTCTAAAACTTAGAGTTTTAAACAAATCTTGTATTAATCAGAAAAAGTAGAGGACCAAAAACCCTGTGGTATAACAACTTTTCATACAATGATAGGTAATAACTTTTTTAAATAAAAGATCTATATCAGAAATTTTTAAACCTAATATGCTAGTAACATATTTAAAAACGAAATCGTTAAAGTTATAATTCGGTATTTCATACATAAAGGTATAAATTATTATAGCATACCTCGGATAGCTGTCCAGCAATCTTTTACAGTATTATGATTTGCAAGTTCTTCAAGCGTAATGGAACCATTCCTACCCTCGACACCTGCAACTTTATTTTCATTCACAAACCGTATCCAATGCATGAGACTTCTACCTGGCTTTAATGCAACTTTGTTTCGAACCAATCTTTGCGAAGAAGGTGAAGGAAATAATGCTTCGCCCATTATATCCTTTGCAAGACGGTCGCTAGCACTCAACTTAAACTGATCGTTATTTGTGGATTTTTCAGGTAAACTGCTAGGCCCTCCCGGGCGACTGTTCGAACAACCCAGTTTATGTTAATTTGCGTTTACAATAACATGTAAAAAGTCCGGAGAAACAAAGTTATTATTTTAGACGAAATAATGTCAAAAACATATTAAAAATTAAATACGAAATCAAGGAATAGCTAAATGAGTATCAGCTTGTTTTACAGACACTTTTGTCTTTTGTTATGATATCTATTACTCTACCGCGTGCTATTAGATGTTATTAATAAATCTTGTTAGTCATAGAACGCTGAAGGTTGATGATACTATAAATTGACTGATTAAAAACAATTGGTTATTTGGAAAACGTTAACGCTTAACAGTAGTTTATATCGTTAAATTTGATTTTTTTTTTTTAAATATTTTTATCATTGAACTATTAGGAAATTAAACTTATTAAATTAGCTTACAATATAAATATTTTGTTGAAAATTACACTTTATAGTTGAAAAATATATTTATTTGATATAGGAAGCATCTGCTTTTTTATGTGCAGGTGTTTTTTTTTAAAACCTGAATATTTTGAAACTTTTTTTAAAAAGCCTTAATTTTTTATGTATTTCGATGAGGCATGACTTGTTTTAGGAGATTTTTTACAAAATGAGCATGCTAATATTTTAATAAAAGTTTTGCTCCCTGTTGAACTCAACGTCAATGAAAATTGTTTGTCTGCAGCATCTGTTTATTTACTCGATTCTTTTAACAACGTCTATTTACGCAACATTAAAGTTTGCGTCAAGCTATTATCAGGGTTTAATAGAGCGATTTAAATAAAAAGTCATGCTATATGAAAAAAACTATGAATATAAAGCTATATTTATTTTAAGCAGTGCCCACGTCCCCAATTGGAGGGAGCCTAACGAATTTAGGGGTTTCTTTTTGCAAATATAAAGAGTTGTTTTTTTTACTTGATGGTAGGTTTTTTAAAATTTTCTTAATGACAGCTTCTTTTTTTCCGGGCAGGGTGGGGGTCTATATATATTCGCTACCTTCAATAATTATTAGAATAGTCATACGTTTCAATATAAGATATCAAAGTTTTACTTACTATTGAAAAACTGTAAGCAAAATCTACCTGAATTATATGTTATTTTCCTATTTATTAAGTTTTCATAAAAGTTATTTATTTTACATAACGTCTTATCCAATTTGACAAAGTCAATAGACGATATTTGATAACTTTTTTAAGAACTTTTTGCTATGCATTGTGGGATCGCCTGGGGGATAACAAAGTCTAAAAAAAAATTTTTTTAATTTCGCATTACAACTTTATGTAGCTTATGTTTAACGTAATTTTTATTAATTTAAACTTTTAAAATTTATTAATGGATTTAAAGAGTGTTTTGAAGATGACTGCGGAAATTTAGTAATTGTTTTCAGGAATGAGTTTTATACAAAAAGTCTAAAACTTGATAACAATGTAAATTTTTCTAAATTGAAGCTCAGTGGCCTTCAATATTTTTTAAAATTATCGAAGAGCTATCATGGTTTTAGTAATTTAAATAAAGAAAAAGTTTTAGAAAAAGTTACAAACGTTTGGAATATTTTGAATCTCCCAGGCAATACCAAAACCCATTGCGGGCTTACTGATTTTAAAGTTATCAAATATCGTCTATTCTATGCTACTCATTGATAAGTTTTTTAAAATTTTTTGCATCGCATTAATTTTTTTTCGGGAAGAATCTTTTTGTCATACATATGAACGTAAAAGAATTTTGAATATTCTTTTTGTTTAAAAGTTTGTTATTTTTAACATTTAAAAACTTATATATACATATATAGGGGAAGTGGGGGCATAACCGCCCCCGTAACGTTTGAATAAATGTTATATGAAAATAAAAACAAAATGTGTTTTTTTAGCAGTTTATTTCAATAGCTGCATCATTAAGCTTTAAATCGATGCATTTAAGAAAAAAATTGAACGGGTTTTGAAAATGTTATTACACAAAAATTACACTCAGTGAAAAAAACGGTTTTGCCCCCATTGTGAGGCACAACCGCACCCTCACAAAAATCGTTGGGGGTTCACTGTTCTAGGTACATTTTCTTTACAATTGTCATAGCTCAGATTATTTGCTGATTTTGTTGCACGTTTGTATACTGTGTAGACATTCTTTGTACTTACAATCTCAGTTTTCTTATTCGATATACTCTTAGCTTTATTTTAATTCAAAAACTCATTTATAAAAATTAATAAAAAAATACGAAATCTAATTTCTAACATTTCAAAACAAAACTTTTCTAACATCTTTTCTAACAAAAAACAAAACTTTTCTAATAAAAAACAAACTTTTCTAACAAAGTTTTTTTAACAAAACTTTTCTAACAAATAACAAAACTTTTCTAACAACTTTTTTTCAAAACAAAACTTTTCTAACATCTTTTCTAACAAAAAACAAAACTTTTTCAACAAAACTTTTCTTTCAAAACTTTTCGGACAAAACTTTTCTAACAAAAAAACTTTTTTAACGTCTTTTTCTCAAAAGAATCCTTTTCTAACATCTTAAACAACTTTTCTATCATCTCAAAGCAAAACTATTCAAGTTTATACATGAACGCATTCAAATGTGACGATTGTAATTGTTATTTGTAATTACATAACTTTGATAAATAATAAAAGTATGCGGTTGTGCCTCCTGTGCGTCTATGCGGTTCTGCCCCAGTGGACAGTTTTTAGAAAGAATTCAGTTTCATAGCTTGCTTATTAGGTTATGTTGATATCAAAAATGGTTTTTACTTGATGAAATAACGCTGATAACACATATCTTTAACACTAATATATGTATATATATATATATATATATATATATATATATATATATATATATATATATATATATATATATATATATATATATATATATATATATATATATATATATATATATATATATATATATATATATATATATGCAGATTATGTATGCATATACCGTGGCGAATCCATTTCAAAAGGGGTGATCCTCCCCCCTTTCTTCTATTTTTTTTTAATAATTTTTTGTGTTTCTATTTATTTTACGCAAAAATTTGTTTTAAAAAGAAGTAAATAAGTTAGGCAGGCTATTAATAAATGATGAGTCGATATAAGATCTTATCGTTAAAACCAATAAAACTGCACTAATTATAAATGCACTATATACTCAAAGTAAATACAAACACAAATTAAGATATCACTTTATAATAAAAAAGAAGGAAAAAAACGTTGTTATTATAAATAGTATTGAAACATCAATAGGTAGAATAAAATTTTTAAATTTATTTTTAAAGGTTGGAAAAGTATTGGATATACCAAAAATAGGTATAAAAATTTTCAGATATATGGTATTGAAAATGTAATGTAAATTCTGACAAACTTTGTTTCGCAAATTGGAACATAAAAAGTTGTTTTTTCTAAATATACTCATTAACTGTTTAGAGAAAAAAGGTCTTTAAAGATGGATAAAGTTAAATCGTTTTTCCACATGTATATAAAGCATAAAACATTCAAAAAAAAATCATAAAAACTGAGTTTGTAAATACTAAGTATTTTCTAAATAATCGTTTAGAATTAGTAAAACAATCCGCATCACCACAATAATTCCTTTTCCTCAATAAATATCTCTCTTCTAAAGCACCATCTGTTAGTTTTTATTTCTTGGAATGGGTTGGTGAGAAGTGCAAAATAAAATGTGGACCAGGTGGAATGAGATTAAAGTTGTAAAGTTACCTTAAAATTCTAAAGTTTATAGATATTCTGCTTTTGTGACCGTTATGCATGATGTTAAGATTATAGAAAGGTGTAATAAGTAAGTGGATAAAAATTTAAGATAATTGAAATAAATTCTTTTTTTTTTATTAATCGCTAAGTCCATATTAAAATTTATAAAATCATTAAGTTTAAAGATAGATCAAGAAAATCATTAAATTTAAAGATAGAGAATTTAAAATTTGCTTTGATTCATAGATGGATATCCATCTATGAATCAAAGCAAACGCCATCCGGATGGCGTTAAATGTATTCAATAGTTTTATTTTTTAGCAAGGTTTTACTATTTCAACAAAAATAGACTCTATTTTGAAGAGTACTTTGAGAGACCAAACAAATAATGGAGTGTGTGTGTGTGGGGGGGGGGGGGGGGAGGTTGGGATTCACTTATTATTATTATTAATACTTATTAATTTCTTCATTTATAAACGTTTTATAATGTTGTTTTATTAACAAAATATAAATAAAATGAAAGAACGACGAAATCGTAGCGTTAAACTTAATAAATAAACGATATTGTTTCGATTACTTCGAAAATGAAAAAAAAATATTCATATTGATTGATCTCAAAGCACTTTCATGAAATTAGAAAAGAATACAAAATATATCAACGTTGCGTGAAGGAGAATTGGTCTAAAAAAATTCCTGTTGGGTACGTATTGTCTTACAGAGATCACAAGGAGAAGAATGTGTCTTGAAAAGTCTCAAGAGAAGAATAATGTCTGAAAAAATTACGTGTTGTTAACAACACGTACCCAACCGAAATTTTTTCACGTACTCAACCGAAATTTTTTCTCTGTACGTACTCAACCGAAATTTTTAACACGTACTCAACACGAAATTTTTAACACGTACTCAACCGAAATTTTTTTTTCTGTAAAATTTTACAGAGATCACAAAGATACTCAAAAACAGCTGCGTCATAACGTAAAATCTATGGAGCAAAAGTCAGTATTTATAAAATAATTGGAATACAAAGTGTTTAAAGAAAGTAGGCAGAAAAATAGCACTTAAAGGCTAAAAAGTGAATAGTGAAAATATGTGTACCTATACTGCCCTCCCCCCCCCCCCAAATGTAATTTTTGTTCATACGGGCCTGAAATCGTCGAATTTTTTAACAAAACATTCCTAATTGGCATAAGCATGAACAATCAATTCGTCAATATGATTCAACAGTCAAGTCAATATGAGTCAATAGTCTTCCATGTTAAAGTGTTTACAATGTTTAAGACAAAAAAAAAAAAAAAAAGGAATCATTTTACCATTAATGCGTTGAATTGCAAACTTATAAGTTGAACCAGCCAAAGTATTTGTTTGGCAGAAGAATCCTGTTCATATGCATTGCAGCAGCGCTAATTCAAAATCATATGCATTGCAGCAGCGCTAACTCAAAACAAAAAGAGATTTAAAAAAGACGTCTTTTGAACGTAACTATGAACGTTCAAAAGACGTCTTTTTTACGTCTCGTGCTTGCTGCGTGTTTATGTTAATTTGTTAAATTTGGCTACGAACATGCATCAATGATCCATAAAACTATTTCGGGGTAACATTGCCGGGTACTACGAGGTACAACTTGTACTACGGTGTAGTACTAGTTGGCTAAGTCCATGTAAAATTTTTTTTTTTACTGATAACTTAAATGTTTCTACTCGTAACTCAATTTTTATATTTATTATAATGTAAAATTGCAAATTTGAATATGAATGCCTAAATATGGCAAAAAGATATCTGAGGATTAAAAATTAGAAAACAAGTCGTTAACTCTCGCTTCGATAGCAAGGTAAAAATTAATACAATACAATATACAAAAATAGTAATAATCAAATATAATACAAAACAACGTTTTTCTTTCTATAACCTTTAAAGAAGCTAACCTTTAAAGATGGTAATATTCATTTATCAAAAGTAAGATAATCAAAATGATTTAACAAAAATCATCGAATATCTTAAAAAAAAAAGAAAAGTCATCTTTAATTAGTTTTAGTGAAATGTTAACAAAGCAACTTCAAAAAACAACAATTGTATAAAAATCTATTCAAAAAACCATAAAAACATGTATAGAGACGGTATAAAAACATTAGGACAAAATGAAGTTGCAACATCTAGACATTTAATTATCCGGATCTGTTAACAACGCCATTTGTTTCTTCAGACGATCTATTTCAACTTGTTGATTAAGTCTAATTTTTCTTTCGTTATCCAGGTCTTCTGTTACTTGAGAAATGAGCAATTTAAAACGTTTCTCCATGTCCGTCAGTTTTTCAGTAAGCGTAATTATTTGAGATTTCAGCCCATTGATATCATCCGTGTTTTCGATATGCTATTAAGTAAAATAAAATAAATAGACGCATCCAGAATTTCAATGACGTAATGTTTAGTGGCAATGTATTGCACTCGGATAATTTGAAATTAAAAGTAACAAAACAACTGTTTAAAAATACGAATTCTCAAGTGGAGGAGGATATGGATTATTGAAACATGTTTTAAAACAAACAGTGCAACTAATTTGAAATTTACAGAAAAAAACTATGGAATAAAAATAACAAAACTCGCATAGTTCACTACTATTAAAGAAATAAGAAAACTACACAATACACACACACACACACACACATACACAACACACACACCCACACATACACAACACACACACCCACACATACACAAAAAAAGAAGCGTTAAAACAAAACTTTTTAAATGGTATTTATGTATTAACCTCAGGTAAATGAGAGCTATTATTATTATTACTATTGAACTTATCAACAACATTAAGTAATTTCCTTTTATAATAAAAAACATTACTATGTAATACACAACTATGAACTAAATAATAAACAAAAATATTTTTGGTTTTATCTTCTAAAAGTAGAAAATATGAAGCTGGAATGAAGAAGAAAAATCAGAATGGTGATACAACCTAATTTATTATCTGAACTTTTTGAACATCTTCACTTTCAACAAGACTGCAAGCCACCACTATTAGAGTTGGAAGTTACTGGAAGAACAAAGATAAAACTTATAGAGCAAGAAAGCGATTGACAGACGACTTAAAAGATCGCAAATTATATGAATCCGGAAAACAAGATGAAGGAAGCGAATTCCAAAGAACTGATGTTCAAGGAAAAAAAACTAGACGAATAAGAATTTTTGGAGCACTTAAAAACAGTCACAGTAAAAGGATGAGACTAACACGAAAACGAATTTTAGTGGTTGGCACAAGATATGCCAGCTATTTAAAACACTATAGTATTTATAGAAAAGAGAAAGAAAAGCATTATTACGAGGATGTGACAATGATTGGAGGTTAGCTGTAAGGTCCAACTATGTTTATAATGCCTATTTGCACCTTGTCTACAAGAGAAAGGGCATCATTCAAAGATTCGCCAAAGGTAAGTAAGAGTTAATTCAAGAAGATGAAGGGTAGATGATTCATTGAGTACATTACCGTTTATAAATATAGGAAGATCTAGATTATTGTGATAATGACTAGCTGAGGAAAAGTTTTATTTGGATTAAAACTCACCAGCCACTGATAGCTATAGCAGAAGTGAGATCTTTCTCAAGCTCAAATATCCCCTCGAAGCAATCAGAGAGTGATGGCTTCTTATCAAGACAAGAATAAATGGTAGCATCATCAGCGAACAATGCTACCTTAGATGTGAGAACTTTTGGAAGATCGTTAAATTGATGTAAATTAAAAAGAGTATAGGGCCAAGGATTGAACCTTGAGGAACCCCTGAAGTTACAGGATATGAAGAAGAGTGCTGTCCATCGAGGACAACTTTTATAATACGATTGGAAAGGAGTGATTCAATAATCTTAAACATGTTACCTGATACACCGTAAGAAGAAAGCTTATGGAGAAGACCAACATACCATATTTCATCAAAGGCTTTAGAAATGTCGAGAGCAAGAGCCTTAGCCTCTCCACATCTATCTAATGCAAGATAAAACCTATTGGTTATTATCGTTAATAAATCAGCAGAAGAAAAAGAAGATCGAAATCCATATTGTTGATCAGAAAGTAAATTATTAGATTCAAAATGAGAGATTAAGTGTTTGTTAATTAAAGACTCAAAAACCTTGTTTATGATATGAAGAAGACTAATGGTATAGTAGTTAGATAAGTCAGATTGCTCCCAAGAATTTTTGAAAAAAAAAGGGATAAAGATACCACATCTTGTTTTTCAGCATGCTGGAAAACAAGACTCTGATAAGCACTTGTTAAATAGTTTTGAAAATATAGGCGACAGCTCCGGAGAATACTTCTGCAAGACTATAACAGGTATGTTGTCTGGACCACAAGCTGTAGAAGAGTCTAAGCAGGAAACCACTTTAGATACAGAAGCTGAAATTATATGAATTTCGGCTATATCAATGGGAACATGACTAGTGGATTAGACAATCAAGATTGATTGATTAAAAAAAAAAGAATTTTAAAAAGGTTATTATGCACAAACACAAATGACAATGGGGTTAAGTAATGTTTAATTTTGTAATTTATTTGTGCATACATTTTAGAAAATCACTAACATAACACCTTTTGTCTACCAGTTTTTTTTTAAATAAGTTACAATGTTTTTTACATCACCTATATTTACCATAAATATTGGCTAACAATATTAATAGCCTAGAAACAATATTACATTCTATGTAAATAAATGTTTTTATTTTGTTTTTAATGAGTGGCTAGAAGTTACATAAAATACAAGTGACAGTCTATAGTAGGCCAATTGAACCATTAAATGCTAAAAGAGCTACTCATTATGAAATGCTAAAGGAGAGTTAATTGACAAATATTCTCAAAGGTGCTATTGTTTGAATTTCAGTAGCTTCTTTATTTCAGTATTTCAGTTTGAATTTCAGTAGCAGCTTCTTTACTTAGTTGTAATTGTTCATTTAAAAACGATGATATATTTAATTTAACATTGATTGTTTTTAAATGGTCAACAACTGCAACTTTTGCAGTCAACTTCAAAAATAACTCATTATTAATTTATAAGTTAATGTCTTAGGTTTTTGAAATTTTTAAGAGAATTTTTTTTCTTTTAGGAGATTATTTTTTTACATCAATTTGGCTTTTAAATTTAAAAATAGATAAGAATGCTCCCCATTTAGAGTATTTATGCCATCACAAACTTCAAAATCTATATATTATACTTGTGAATTTTAAATAAGCTGATAAAGCAAAACCACTTATCTTGATAGAAATAATAAAAACTTTAATAATCTAATATTAATGTTTTAACATTGCCCAAGAACATCATTTTAAAATTACATAATTATAAAATATTACATTATAGGAATGCGGGATGTGTCTATTAAAAATTAAAATTAAAAAATTAACAAAAAAATATTTTTCCTGCACGCTGCACAATCATGTGTCTTTACCTTAACTACTTACCTCAACTACAACCTTTGTCTTACTTATCGTAAAAACAAACTTTGTCTTACCTCACAGATTCATTCCTACTAAAACCACTCACCACAACAAACTTAAATTCTCTAAGCATCTTCTAATAAAAAAACTTTTAAAACAAAAAGAATAAAAATTGATTAACATACTTTGTGAATTGTGGATGGTGGATTCTTGCCAGGAACTTTGACTCTTTGCATATGCTTTAATTGTTCTGTTGGTTTAATTGAGTCTAGGTCTATATCGTCTAAAGAAAAAGATGCAACATTTTATTGAATATTAGAAATACTGAAGATTCCATAGATGGTATTAGAAATACTGATGGCTCCATAGATTTCAGTATGGAATCATTAATATCAAGTAATGTTAATTCTTGTAAAAATTAAATTTTTTTATTAAACATAAGCATTTAATTGAAAAAAAAAAGACAATAAAATAATTGAAAAACATTTTTTTTTGAAAATATAACAACAAACCTTGTTTATTAGACTTGCTTTCATCAGAAAGAGTTTTTGAAGTTTCTTTTATTTTTGATGTTAAAAAATCTTTTTTGACATTCTCTTTTTGTGCTTCCTTTTCAGGAACAGTTACAGGTACTTTTTGTGTCTCTGGAACAAGAGCTGGTATTTTTTGTGTTTCCTTATCAGAAACTTTAGGAGTTGATGTAGATCCGATACGACTAAGAAGTCCCATACCTTTTTGGAGCAATGAAGTATCTCCATCAGGCTTTTCAGACTTTGGTGGTGGACCAGGAGCTTGAGGCTTAGGTTTTGATTGCACAGGCAACAATGGTTTTGGTTTATTACCAGGTGGAGGAGGTAGTTTTCCTTTTTTAACCTCACTTTGATTGCTTGTTGAAAGTTTTGCTTCTAATTCTAAGAATCACATAAAGATCTTATAAACTCAAATAGAAGTTGATTAAAACTTTAAAAAACTCTGATTAAAAGTTTGAGATGATGTAAAAGACAATTCAAAGTATAAATATTTTAAAGAGTGTTGCATAATTAATTTTAAATTACTTTTATGGTATCAATCCAAGTTAATATTAAATACTAAAATAAATCCTAATGGCATTTATTAGATATTTTCTATCTCATAAAAGTCAGGTAAGAGTTAAAATGCAAAAAAAGATCTTTAAATTTAGATAAAAATACTGTACCAGCCTGGGTTAAAAATTCCATAAAATACAAGCACAGCTTGCTCCTTTTATTGAAAGAAAATATATTATATTATATTTTATTGAAAGAAAATATATTATATTTAGTAAACAAACCTCAAAATCTGTTAAATAAGCTTGCAATGACAGAAATAAATCATGGAGAAACATGGAGAAAAACTGATGATATGGCAATCTTTATTGTATACAAGATTTTATGAAAATATATCTATGTTAGGACACAATTTCTTTATAAATTTTGTACACTTTATTTCTTAAAAAAATAGATGCTTTAATTTTCGAAAAAAAATAAAGAATAATGAAATCCAAAAATTATTTTTATACCATGAAAATAAACCCTTTATTTTATCAAGGTAGCACTTGCCTAACCTCAAAACTTCAGTCAATGTATGTAATGAAGCTATCAGCTTTTTCAAAATCAACCCTTTTTCATCTGTATTTTATGTCTAATACATTATTTATAGATGTATGTATGTATGTATGTATGTATGTATGTATGTATGTATGTATGTATGTATGTATGTATGTATGTATGTATGTATGTATGTATGTATGTATGTATGTATGTATGTATGTATGTATATATATATATATATATATATATATATATATATATATATATATATACATACATATGTATATCAATGAAACACTAAAGCCATACAATGTATATCCTTTACGTCTTCTGGGATTATTATTCACTACTTCTTGGATTATTGTTCTCTAATTTTATAGAAACCATATATACATTTGATTGCTAAATCAGCATCTGCTTCACTTTATCGTGCTCACCATTTTCTTATTCCTGATTCCATTCTCTTCCTCTACAAATCTCTTACTTGTCCTGTATGAAATACAGGACAATTTGAGATTTGTAGAGGAAGAGTATACTAATTCTCGCTTGACTCCTCATTCTTTTACTGATTCTGTCTCATGCAAAGTCTTATTCTTTTACTGTATCTGTCCCTGCATGCTCTAAAAATTTTTATTCACTCAATTTTTTTCCCTGCATTTTAACCCTTAGGAACTCTCTTTAATCTTCATGTTTCCCTGACTTACACAACTATTAAAGTTTTCCTGACTCAATACAATAGCTTTTCAAGTTTTTTGTCAACTGTTGCCTTGCTCTATAACTTAACTCTTTTTTTTCCTAGTAACTCCCAACTTAATGGTGGTTGCTTGCGGCCTTATTGGAAGTGAATCAGAATAATAATAATTTAAAAAAATTAAATTATGTACAAACAGTGTTCATAAAGAATAACTACTAGTTAACAATAACAAACTAGTTAAAACATTTATCTAATTTTTTCTTCTATAGGCTGTTTTTCTTACTGTAGGCTAATCAGAAATATTTTGCAGGAAATTTCAAGGATTTGTTATAATTAATTTAATAATAACTATATATATTATTAATGACTTAAGTTATTTTGCAACCCGGAAGTTGCTACAGTTTGACAGTTGCATTAGCTACATTATTAATTGCAAAAAGAATTCTTTAGAATCAAGATAATTTTAGTTTGGTCATTTGTTTTTATAACTTTTTAAAAGGTAGAGTAAAGAAGAGGAATTTTGGCAGGGAGATAATTTCGGCAAAGTGAACTCATTAGTGTCTCTGTGAAACTTATTAAAATAATAGTTCCCTACAATATAAATTAATTTTACATCATATAACAATAATAATAATAATAATAATATATATATATAATAATAACAATAATAATAATTGTGTTGATAAATACCGGTATAGAGTGCTCAATAATCATGAGCAAACTATATTATGTAAAATGAAATAATAACAGTTAAAGAAACACGACTCCTCTGTAGTCATGTTTCTTTAATTATATATATATATATATATATATATATATATATATATATATATATATATATATATATATATATATATTAGGGGTATGACTAAAAATCTTTTTAAAAATTTTTAATTTCCCATGCCACCATGAGTAGAGAAATTATATTTATAAACAGAAAATATAAGTTTTTAATGTTAATTTTTTAAAAAGATCACCCCCAAGCTGAAAATAATTTTTCTTATATTTTTAGTGTTATCCTAATGAGTTATAAATAACATAATAGACACAAAAATAGCTAAAAATGGTCTTGCTTCAGAAAAGAATAAGAAAGTTTAGTGAGACTCGAAAGCTAAGACTTCAACAAGATGTGCTATTGTTAAAAGTATTGGTAAAATGAATAAAATGCCAACACAACAGCATATCATTGATCGATTTAAAAGTTTGTCATCAAATATAAAAAGCAAAAAGGAGAGACTTCAATTTTGGCTAAAGAAGCCGAACTACTATGGAGAAAGCTGAATATTCAAATTCTACAAGGGAAATCAGTATCAGAAAAAAAAAATATATATATATATATATATTGAAAAAACTTGACAAAGATCGAAAACCCAGAACTCAAAATTTTACCCAATTGTTTAACATAACTGATGAGAAAGGTGAATGGTTGTGTCAGGAAGATAAGGAATTCTACTGTCAAGATTTCTATGAATCAGCTAGTAAAGGAGGTCATTCAGAAACTGAAGAGCAGTTTTCCAGCAGTGATACTGAAGCTGAAGATGTGGAAAGTTTGTCATCATCATCTAAAAGACAAAAAACAAATTTGGCTGTAAATTTGGTGAACAGTGGTCTTTACACTTTGATGGAAAGCACATAAAGAAAATGGAGAATCAAGTAATGTTTTGAAAAATGAAAAGAGAGAGGTTAGACTAGCTGTTCTCGAGCTGATGAATGGAAAAGGTGAAACAATATTTAATGGAATAAAGCTTGTGCTAGATGAATATGAACTGTGGCCAACCATAAAAATGATTGTATCTGACACAACATCTGCAAATACAGGAATAAGAATTGGTACAGTAACACTGTTACATAAACATTTCAAAACTATTGCACTAGAGAAGCCTACTTTTATAGGATGCCAACACCATATTTTAGATACTAAAACATGTCATGAATGATCATTTTGAAAGTTTAACATCATCACCAAATCTTCATTACCCTTTTGTGACAAGATTATTGCAAGACTATGAGAACCTGAAGTTATAATTTCAGAATACTGGAGATCCTTTGACAAAAGTGAATTGGACAGATTTGGCGAGATGACATGGATTTCCTGCATCACTTAATAGCTTGTTATAGAAAGTTTCAAAGCACAGGTACCTTTCCAAAAGTGAATTTTAAAGCACTTCCTGCTATAAGCAATGCAAGATGGAACTCAAGAGCAATATTTATTCTACTTGCTTAATTCTAATACCAGACTATCAAGAATCGAAATCTGCTCAAGCAGCATGCAACTTTATCTGTGGTTCATGGGGTGATATATGGTTTGTTGATCACTACCTCAATTCTGCAGATTTTGTTAATCTATTAGAAGCATGCAATAAGCATCCAAAAGCATTAAAATTGTTCTATAAAGTACTGGAACATGTGCTGCAAAATAACATTTCTTATATTCTATTAATCTTGCTTCTAAATGGGGGAGGGGGGGTGAACTTTTTTGGGATATAGTATAAATGTTTGATATTTTCTTGATTTTTGCATAAAAACTCCACTAAATTGAGTATGGGGATACAGGGTTAAAAAATTATTATACCCCTAATATATATATATATATATATATATATATATATATATATATATATATATATATATATATATATATATATATATATATATATATATATATATATATATATATATATATATATATTAGGGGTATAATAATTTTTTAACCCTGTATCCCCCTATATTATACCCCTAATATATATATATATATATATATATATATATATATATATATATATATATATATATATATATATATATATATATATATATATATATATATATATATATATATATATATGTATATATATAGCTTGGACAGAAAATACGTGCGATCGCATGCTTTAATGACCATGTTTTTCTTTTATTCTTTGCAATTTAACCATGGCGGTTTTGATGTCTTAACAATTAATATGCTATAAAAAAATTGTTATGTTATGAATAACTTTTAATCATTGATCTTTCCTAAAGTTTTTATTTTATGTGAAGGCTTTGAATAAAATAAAAAATTAACTATTGTGATTGTTTAAAATTTTGTGTAAATAAACAAATAACGTTATATTTAATTTTTTTTTAAATTTTTTATGTAGGCATGTATTTTTTATGATAAATTTAAACAATTGAAACTGCTTTTCCATGTCTTTCTAAAAATCTTTTGCTGTTTTGCTCAGAATGCCACAGGTGACATTGTAAAAATAGGTGGAATAATGATAAAAGTAGTTGATTCTGACACTTTTAGAAAGTCATACTGTACCTTTGGAAAGTTGGGTTAATAGAGAACCAATCATCTTTTTATAAAAAAAATAAATCAAAGCTTAAATTCTTCAGAAAATGGTATAAGTAATTTGTCTGAGGTCAAGAATGATCAAATATTGAATAGAAAGATTTTGCCTCCCCAATAACCAGATCTCTCTCCTATAAAATTTTTATGGGATGAATTAAAATTGATGTGAAAAATAAATGCCTAACAATGCAAATTATGGGGAAAAAATGTAAAGTAGAATGCCAAAAATATGCTGGCCTTGTTTTAAATAACAAATGCTTAACGCATCAGCCTAATGTGAATTTAACGTCATAAAATTCTCTTTATCTTTTTATTTTTTAA